ACACCTTCACCTGGAAAGGCAAAAATCAAGGCTAGACCCTCTAGCAGCCCTAGGAGAGTTTTACAAATTCCAAGCCCAAAAAGAATCAGACAATATCTTCGAGATCCTAGTCAATGGAAAGAAAACCAAACTGAGAAAGAGCGAGGTAATCAGTAAACTGAGGAACATCTGGAACCAAGAGAGACCAAAGAACAAACAGCTACTCTATGGACACTCCTTCAGGATTGGAGGAGAATCACTCCAATGGAACCTTGGGGTAGACAAGGAAGAGATCAAAAGGGCAGGACGTTGGAAATCAGACACTTACCTCATATACCTCCAAAAGTTTTATTGCGTAGAACAAAGAAACACAATCCGACTGCTCAGAGAGAATCAACTCAGGAACGAATAGAGAGATTAGATTGGGAAAAGAATGGGAAAAGGAAAGACAAAGGACCAGTCCAAGTGAGAGGAGATGTGAAATACAGAGATAGGCAGATCCTGGCAGATTAAAATGATGCAGGGAACACCATGTGTAAACCTTAATCCATTTTGGGGTAGACGGTGTAGAACTTCTACGCAGTGTAGCGTAGGCTGAGTCGGAGAAGGTAAGAATCACCACTTGAGAGAGCGGATGATACTACGGTGCTTTTACGCTGCCTTCAACCTTAAAATTATTGCAGTTCAGAAAGAACTAGAACAACTCTTAACAATCTTCTATCCCCACAAATTCCTCCCGTAACACAAATTTGAGATTTCCAAAGGATCCGCAAGGTTTGCCAGACTCCGATGATACCACACACAACTCTACACGACGTTGTGGTGTAAAACTACGTTGATTTTTATGTTAACACGGCTAGGTAGCACATGTAACAATGCACAGGGCCAAAATGAAGTTTTGGACCCCGACTCGACCCGGCCTCGACATGGATCAAGAGGCGGGCTGTTGGTTTTGATACAGACTTGAAATTGCCGACTCCACGACTAGATTTTGACTCAGCTCAGCATGAACTCCTCAGCACCAGCTAACTAACAAGAAGAAACAACAATAATCGAATACAAGATTCTGTTAATCAAGGTAAGACTTTATTCTTAACTTTCACTTCTTAATCTAATCATTGTATAACTAACAAAACTATTCTAACTCTTCATCTTTCTTATCTAGAACACTCGAAGACTCCTTTTTAACAAAACTCGAAATCGATGACACCTTTAAAAACGCACACAGACACTCGGACCCACTTTTAAAAACGCACACAATAACACACACACCCACCCCCTCCAACACCCAGATGCAAACAGATCGATGCCCTTTTATATCCTTTCTCAACCTCAACCACAACTCGGCCTTATCTTATCTTATCAATCAATTGATCGGTCCGTTTTTCTCTCGACAGGCCTTAACTCCGTCCTTTTCGATCCGTTGTTCAGTTTTATGTAAGTTTTTTATGTAATTCTCCTCTTTTCTTTCGCTTCTATCCCATCATCGCTCTCCTGACCCACTTATTACATATTTGCTTGATATTGCTTTGGACGCTTCGACTCCGATTTGATTCGACTCGGTCACGAGTTCTTGTTTAGTTTAATTCATTTCTATCTATTGTAAGATCCTCTTCTCTTTCATTTTTTTTCTTTCTTTCTACTTGTGTATCTTCTAACTGATCTGTCCTTTCTCTTCCTTGTTCTCAATCTAGTTCGTTTCTTCAATCGAACCAACTTCTCACACCCCTCCAATCACTACCTCCCTGCTCTGATCATTCCGCTTCGATCTCCACTTTGCTATCCTCCCCTTCACTCAAATAGATTCAAACCTCTTGTGTTCTTCCTTTTAGCTTCCTCTGTTTCCTTCCTTCCCCTTTTTTTTATTTGTTTCTTCACTTGTAATGTTTCTATATGATGTATGCTGTTTTTGTGAACTGATCAATTGAGTATTAGTAAAAAATAAGTTAAGAAATATAAAAAATGATCTTTCTAAAAAAAAACTGATCCGTCTCGAATTGAGTGTTGTCCATCTGATCCTTGAGAATCTCAAGGATGTTGAATGAAGAAAAGTGAAAAAAATTAAATTGAAATGTAAAAAATAAAATAAAGTGAACTTGAACTGTTTGCGAGTAAAGCATGGGCACCAAGGCTGCTTCTCAGAGTAGAAGAGGCGTATAAAGGACAGGGGTTTGAGGTGTGATTTGATTTCCACATCCTCCCCCAACTTCCCATTTGTCCTTGAATGAAATAGCTCGAGATACTTCTATCAGTTCGTTATTGATATCACCAGCTCGTTCCCAGCCCGTACTTTTTGTTTTCATAGGTGTGTTCTTATGCCCTATTACCAGATGACC